TAGAGACTGTTGTAGGTGTGGTCAAGTGTTCTGATGTTGACTGAGCCGGATGTGGACATAGTGTGGGGGTGGTGGTATTGTCAAGGGTAGAAGTTTGTGGCCTTGGCAAGTCATCAGCGATTGAGCGTCTAGATGGAGGTTGGAAAGCAGGGATGTACTTCCTGAGGAACTTTCGATTGCGTAGGGTCACTCTACCTGATCCGTCTACCCGTACAACATACTGGTCGAATTGACGAACTTCGACCACACATCCTGTTTTGTCCCATTTGAGAGGGTGAGGCCCTATCTGGTTCTGGATTCTGACAAAGTCACCAACTGCGAGAGGTGGGAGCTGTTTGGTGTGCTGGGTGAGACGTTCTGCCATCTTCATATGTCGGTTTCTGAGTGCCTCCTCCCTCAGTAATAGTGTATCGCTCCATGTCTCATGAGGTTTGTACCGACCGGGTAGGATGGGGATGAAGTCCTTGATGGCTCTGCCAAAAAACACACATAGCAGGAGATAACTTTGTGTCTCTGTCTGGGGTGTTCCTGTACTGAAGCATTGCCCGCTGGAAAGCATCCGTGTCAAGTTCACCTCGGGGTCCGGTGTTGTCAGTGATCATGCGTTTGACTGTCTTCACGCCAATTTCTGCCCTGCAGTTGCTGTGGGGGAAGGCGACAGAAGATAGTCGATGATGTACTGACCATGTGTGAAGGAACTCTCTGGTTGCAGAGGCTGTGAATTCGGGTCCCCCCATCAGAGGAAAGTTCATCAGGTATGCCAAATGTGACAAATGTGCGTCGTAAGCAGTTGATGAGTCCAGGTGCACCTCCAGCAGTTCTCTCCACTATTGGCCAGTTGGAGTATCTGTCGACCAGCACCAGATAGTTGACACCCTTGTAATGAAAGAAGTCAGCGCATAGACATTGGAAGGGGTAAGATGGGTAGACTAGTGGTGTTGGTGGGGCTGTTGGTTGTGATGGAGCCATCCGATTGCAGTGAGCACAGTTGGTTCGGAGGGTTGTAACGGCCAATGTGAGTCCGGGCCAGAAGATAGATGCTTCAGCTCTGGACATCATTGATGAGACGCCTTGGTGTGCAGAATGGAGGGCAGTAAGGGCATCTTCACGTAGTGCTGGTGGGATCACAATCCGGTCCTTGTATAGCACAACTCCGTCTACCGTGTGGAGGTGCTCTCTGAACTGATGATATTCACGTAGTGCGGTAGGAAGTTCAAGGCGGGATTCTGGCATCCCAGTTTCAATAAGATCAACGAGTTTGGCCATGGATACATCGCTAGTGGTGGCAACTTTCACCTTGTTCCACGTGATGGGTTCCAAGGAGCTGATTGCAGATGCAGCAGACTGGAGAGTGGCATCCTCTACACTGTAGTCAGGTTCTTCACTGCATCTGATGGAGGCAAGGATGTTATGACAAACATCCAGAGAAGGGGAAAGTTCAGTACAGTCCATGGCTGCAATATCATCCACTAGAACTATCCTCTCAGGGTTACCAGTTGGGTGACGAGATACAGCATCGGCAGCTCTGTGTTTGGCTCCAGGGATGTGAACCATGTGGAATTTGTACCGCAGGGTCTTTTCCTTCAGGTTACGTAGTCGAGCATTCGAGAGGCATTCAAGTGATCGATCCCCAAAGATCTTTAGTAGAGGTTTGTGGTCAACTGCAATGGTCAAATCATTACATCCAAGGACAAAATACCTTGCTTTCTCCAGGGCATCAACCACTGCTAGTGCTTCCCCCCTCGACCGGTGCATAGCGGGATTCCGCGGCGTGGGTGAAACGACTTCCTACCAGGGTGATTTTCCATCCATCTCTACAGCAAAATGGCAGGGTCTTTGGGCATTGACAGTGCTTCTGGAAGAGCCAAAATCCAATTCCGTGTTTCGACCAGTCTGTTGCAAGACAGGTCGGTTTGTTTGCGTCAAAGATGCGCACACCTTTCTCAATCTCATTGACAATGACGGTCTTGGATTCTTGAAACAAGCGGTCCAGATTGTCATCCCAACGAAATGGTGTTCCAGGCTTTAGAAGTTGACGAAAAGACTGCATCCTCTCAGCCATGCTGAATGCGTATGACACTTGATTGACGAGTCCAAACCAAGAACGCATGTCCGTTATGTTCTTTGGTGTAGGAAAGTCCATGATGGCCTGTAGGTACTTCAAGCAAGGTCGAACACTGGTACGAGTAATCTCAAAGCCTGCAAACTCCACGGTGTCTTGTGCAAAAGTGAACTTTTCAGGGTTTAAAGTAATGCCATTCCTTCCACAGATGTCAAGCCAATTACATGCCTGGAAGAAGGATTTCTCAATGTCATCAGCCCACAGGAGTGCGTCATCCACACACTTGGTTTTGTTTGGCACATCAGACACAATCTCGTCAAAGCGTCTTGTGTATCCATCTCCGGAGGCGATATATCCTTGTGGAGCAGTGCGATATCTATATCGGCCCCATGGGGTGATAAATGTGGTAAGGTGTTTGTCCTCATCTCGAATGGGGACACTGTGGTAGCCATTCCATGCATCGAAGACAGATTTCTTCTTATTCTGTGGCACTGATCTGGCTTGGTGGAAGGGGGATTGTGTGTGATGTGTCTCTCTAATGGCATGGGCATTGAGAGCCTGAAAGTCAACAGTGCGTCGCGGCTTGCCATTCTTCTTTGGACAGACGACCATTCTGTGGCACCATGTAACCGGTTCTCCAATTGGCACTGGCTCCAGCACACCTAGTCTGACATCATGTCTAGTTTCATTCCTCACATCAGCTCAAGACAGGGGCAGCTGTTCAAATTGGCTGTTGCAGAACAGCGCAACATCATCTCGAAAGTTCTCATTTTGTAGAGTTGTACTCAAAGGCAACCTAGACAACACATCCACATTTGCATGCATCTCTGACGCTCTGTACACAATAGCATAGTCATATGCACTCAGTATTAGGGCCCACATCTGCATGTGAGCTGCAGTGATTGCCGGCAAGAGCCGTCAAGGGCCTGTGATCAGTTGTCAGTGTGAAGTGCCTGCCATATACAGATCTCCATCATAAATAAGTAGGCAATACTTTTTACAGATGACTGTTTATTCACGGTCGATCATAAATGATGGAGATCTGCAATGAGAGTAAACACATCATGTATAACATGGATAATTAAATAACATATAATCCTCTAGAGTTCATGCAAGTGAAAATGGTGTCAAAGCAGTGTTAATGAAGTTGAATACCTCGCTCCACTAGGGACTCTAGAGTTACGCCCCTTGAACGAGGTTTCCCCAGCAGTAACTGGCTCAGCGGTAATAACCACATTATTTTCCATCTGCCTAGCCCTCCCTGCGATGTTTTAGCCCTAAGTGAAGCAAGTCTGTCTCACAGTCCCTGAACCACATTCAGGGGCGGATACAGCTTTTTGAGAAAGTGGGGGTGCACACTATTGAGAAAAGGAGGGGTGCACACTTCATTTTCACCCGAGTTTCAATGGTCATTTAACAAACTTTCAGCACAAAGGGGTGCGCACCCCCACCCCCCCTTCTGGATCCGCCTATGACATTATTTTCCCTACAGCCTAGATTGAATGAATTACGCTTTGGATACTAAACAATTATATTTATGAAACAAGTTGTAATCAGTTTTAGTCATAGATTATGGTTAACTGTAGGCTATACAAATAACATACAAACTGCATCAACTGCAATATTATCAAATCATCTTTGAGCGGTGAGATGACGGTTTAAAACACTTGAGTGAGTACCATAACAATAACAATGACGTAACTATTCGATCCGTGTTAACATGGTGCGATATATTCAGGAATAAACGAAATGGTGAACACATAATTCAGTTAAAAATACATGTAATGAAGTGTGGTTACCGTTACACACTACCATTTCCACCTTGTATGAGTTTTGGTATGACATTAAGATGGCGTATAGAAGATACATATTCTGTAACTTAATTAGTGGCGAAGTTTAGTTCCATTTTATTATGAAATGTCCATTGTATAAACAGTGTGTTCAAATCATTTGTAAACTTTATCAACGTCTTTGGTCGGCATTTAGAAGTTGGTGTGATGAATAAAGGGGATAGTACTATGGATGTACCATTTCATCACTTGTTTGATAACGGTGTTATAATAATCTGCAAATGTTATTTAACAGATTTTACATCTCAAACTGTACTCTAGGCCTCCAGGCCTCGCAATACAATAAACTTCTGTTATTCCTATTCTGTTATAATCTACCCCGAAACGTTACAAACACTGTAACATAGAAGTTGTATATCCATACAAGTATCCCAATTATATTAAAAACGAAAACAGCATCATTGCGTAAATCAAAAGTCTATATACAAATTGCTCCAATATCGCTGTAATTATGTTTCTTTAATGGCTTTTGTGTGAAAAAGGAACAATATGAACCAAACGGAAACGATGCAATTCAGAACTGAATTGAATTGTAAATACTTAGTTTGAATTTGCATAACGTTCTGTACATAGTATGAATGATACTATAATATTCACCTAACGGATAGCGATAGAATATGCGTTGTGCATGTACTCGTACCCGAGCTGGTCGTTTTCATACTTCACACACGCACCAAGAAGGGCTACTGTTTTCTGAAAGGTTTTTCGGAACACCATAGTCTGTCATACCAGAGACCATATAATAATCTATTATATGGTCTCTGGTCATACAGACCCTGAAGCAGATACATCGAAGAACGCCCATGCAAGTCTAGAAAATGTGGCAAGTCTAGATTTCAACAGTTTCAGGAAAATGAAGAAAGTCTCAAGGCTCCTTTTCATTATATTTTATTTTTTCACTGAGGTTTTTTTCTGTAAAATATTTAGTTTAGAAACACCACGAGGTGTTATTTTACGACCGTTTCGTTAAACAACATACAAGGCAGGCTATTTCGCGCACCTGTTTAACCAGACTATTCTCAACAACGTTAACTGTATAAACGATACTTCCGTTTCCTGCAGCTACGTGGCAGGTGCGCGGCGCGGACTCAACCTCAATCAACTTCCGTTACAAGTGGCAAGATGGCGTGGACATCGTATTTTCTGGTTTCTCTTGCAACCTTTTCAGTTGTTTCAGGCTTATATTTTCATATTGGAGAAACAGAAAAGAAATGTTTCATAGAAGAAATTCCCGATGAAACAATGGTTGTTGGTAAGTTAGTAATAGTTGGCAGGTTTGAATTTGAACAGCTGCAGAAGTCGCCGGCTGTGACAGGAAGTCACTTTTCAACTACAGACACGTTACTAGGCAAAGTTACACGTTGCATTAAACTGCAGTCGTGAAGATAACATACTGTATCAACCATGACTGTTTTTATTTAGGAATATGTGGAAATTGTTAACAGGGTAATGATAAGTCTCGGAAAGCGTTCACGTTAACACAGACGGTAGCGTGATCAATGATTTGGTCTGTAGCAATGAACTAGCATCAGTATTCTTTTTGATGAATAGAATACTTCTTTGAATAATAGATCTGGAAACCACCGTTTTGTTGATTGAATAGGTTTTAGATTCAGACTGAATCTTATTAACTGATAATGAATGAAAACAATCGCACTCTAACCATCCGCTACAATCCTTCATCTCACTGCTCCCTAATGACTTCATAATATTGCCGTTGTAACGTTATTCTTATCGCCCACAGTTAACAATAATATAATCTATTCTTTCTTTAACTTAGTATATGTAATGAAAGCATGTACAATTTATTTTTCCACCTTTTGACAATTATAGACTGCAACAGAAAATGGCTTCAGCATAGAGAAGCATATTGTTTTTAGTAACAATATGGGCATGAGTAGAATGCTGTTGGTAAAATTCTTTTCTTATGGAGATGTTAATTGGAAACAGTTCAGTTGTGAAGGCAAGGAAAAAAACATTGTTTGGCCTTAAACAGTGTGATTTAAATAACAGGGAATTAACACTTCTGTTTGGTTATTCAAAACGGTAATGGGTCATTTCACCCCAGCACAGTTTGACCTCAAGTCATTTCACCCGGGTTGTTTCACCCCATTTAGAAGATGTTTCACCCCAGCAATTTTTTTTCAATTATTTTCAGCTATAAAATTGTTTCAATATTTTATTTTATCTATGTATATAGTGTCGAAACAGCATATTCAGATTGTTTGAATAATTATATCTATATGACATTGTGTGTCATTCATTCTGAATAAGACACCATAGTTTACCATCACGAAATAAGGTAATAATCTACATTTTGTTCATGTATCTACAACACAGACACAGTAGCATTTACCTGATTGTTGTATAAACATTGCCTAGTTAGGATTAACAGATTTAAGCTTTAATATCATTCTCCATGTATACTCAATTATTGGGGTGAAACAACCCCTAATGTAGGGTGAATTGACCTAGTTTGGAATTGGGATGAAACAACCCGGGTGAAACGACCCGGAATCTTCAAAACAAAGTGACATGTCACAAAGTGTGATCACCAAACAACTCCCTTACAGGACCTCAGCCTTTAAACTGTACCCATATTTTTCATACGTTTAAAGAACTTGTGGAAGGTTTTGTTACGAGAATGTTGAAAATTAGCCCTTAAATGTTTGTTTTGAGAACTGCAACATCTATGTGTCTTACTCTTACCTTCTTATGGTATTCTTGTATGTAATTATGGCCATATTAGATCGTGCAAGTGATTATAAGTGGACAGAATGATATAATTTATGAACATATTCACATTTTATAGAAATAACCCGAATGGTAATTAGTTTTTCACAACCAACACTACTTTCCAGATCTAGTGATTGTGTATGTCTAACATTGCCGATTGATTTTTCAGGAAGGTACAAAGTTGAAATCTTTGATAGAAATGTAAATGACTATGTCCCGACTGTCTACGGCCTAGGGATGCATGTAGAAATTAGGGACCCTGAAGATAAAGTTGTCCTGTCAAGGGTAAGATGTGTTGCTAGTGTTTTTCACCTTGCATCATAATGTGTCTCCTACATGGAAGAGTTTGCATGGATGGACTAGCTAGCCGTGCTCACTCCTTGATGTGCTGTGCATGTTATGATGTGTTGTGTGTCATGTTGATTCAAAGGGGAGACAACCTGACAGGCGATAGTATGTTGTTGAGATTTGACCTGACTTTTGGCTTTGTCAATTCCAGTGTTTGTGAATTGGTATCATTGTTGAAACAAATTATTTGTAATCATTATTACTTCTTTCAAAAATGTTAATCAAGCTTCATCACCAACATACAATGCTGTGTAGATTGCTTCTCCCTTGTGTCTGTGTATAGCCTTGTGTGTGTTATGATTGTAATCCCTCTGTTTGCAGGCAAATACAAAGTTCAGGCTTTTGACCACAATGTAAAAGATTACATGCCGGTAGCACCAGGTATTGGTATGCTAGTGGAGGTCAAGGACCCGGAGGGCAAAATAGTTCTCTCCAGGGTGAGTCAGTCCCCAGTCCTACATGGTCCTAGGTGTCTTTCTTATTCCTGGTCCTAGAAACATGAGGCTAAGCTACAACACAGGCAAACGTTTTGGGATTTCTTTTTTTTTGACCGGAAAATATAATATATACAGGGGTTAATCATTACATGAATAAAAGAATAAGAATGATAAGTCACTACTACTTCGATTTGCAGTAAAATATTCAAAGCATGAAACATTGTGTATTTGTAAAATAATGAAGCACATGGTGATATTTGTTTGCAAGGACTATGAACATGAGGTTGTTAAGTGGTATGATTATGTTTTGAGACAGACATGAATGAGAATTAATTTGTTATAATGTGTTAGTATTAACACATGGATTTACTAATGCAGAACAGAAAATGATTTAGCTTCACAAATCATGCTCCAAATCCCAAAACTCACTAGTGATACCAACAATGATCTTGTGATATTCTTTTTAATCTTTGTTAATTGTTAATTCTAGCAAAATAACCAGACCTGCACACTACATTATGTATGTATCCAAATAGAATGTGGGGACTCTGTGAACATGTTAATAATAATTATTTCTGACAAATAGTGACATGTTAAGTGTTAATATGAAGATAATATCTTGTGGTCTTCAAAGTCTCTTCAGGTTTGATGAAGTTTATTTTTATGTTTATTATATCACAGAAATGGTAAAACATTTGCCTGTTGATGCAGCTATGCTAGATATTGATCTGTCTGTTCTCTCTGGATCTCTATGCCTTTACTGTAGATAGTTGATGTTGTGGCTGCATGGTTAGTCTTCTCGGTCTCGTGCTGGGAAATATACAAAAGCTCACCACTTCTAACACTGCTTGTCAATAAGACAATACTAGTTTGCTGTCATTAACATAATGTGGCTTCTGTGGCATCAGAAGTAGTCAACATGGTCAAGTATTGACTGATGTGAACATAAAACAAATATTTTATCAAATTTTAAGCATTGCCAAGATAACCAAGGTTATGGAGCTTTGCAAAATGCTTAATGTGCCAGGGCAGAAGAAAATGGTGTTTGTAAGCATACTTGTGTTTCCGGTAACCCAGCTGACTGATCGATTATTTCACTTGCAGTCTGATATTTGTTAAATGATCCTATACTCTGTTTCATTAATGAGATTTTTACAACTGAAGTGGCATTGTAATTTGCATCTCAGACTTTTTTACTTCCAACTGTGATATGTTTTACTTTGCTGAACCTTTAACTTGCACCCTTCGTTTATTTGCTTGCTACCCTGACATTTTATTTTAATCTTGATTCTTTTTGTAACAAGCAATCATTACATGTTTTCTTGAAAACCTGATATTTTGTCGACTTGCAACACTGATTTATTTGCTTGCGGTTGTAACATTCACCTTGCAACGCTGATATTTTTACCTGTGTGGTTGTCACTTCCCTCACCTGTAAAGTATGGTTAGTATGGTTACCTGAAACACAAGTATGGTGTTAGTATGGTTACCTTTTTTAACCTTGGAGTTCTTGACAGTGATTGGGAAACAAAAACATATTTGTTAGCCACACTGTGCATAATTAGGAACAGCCTTGGAAATATACAAACATGATTACAAGTGATCTAGACTTGAAAGTGTTTTGTACATGGATGTTCATCTATCTCCAAATTGGCCATGGTTTGTCTGCACAAGGCTCCTGTAGTAATAACTTGTGATTAGTTTTAAATTCTTTTGTAATATTAGGTCAGCAGGACCAATAAAAATTAAGAACGACTTTTATACTTTGTTTTGCATTTTTTTGCACTGAATACAATGTTACAAGTCCTGTAAATTTAAGAAGTATTGTTTCAGAAAATTCAACAAGGTATTGGGGCAGTGGGGTAGCCTAGTGATTCAAGCGTTCGATCGTCACGCTGAAGATCTGGGTTCGATTCTCCACATGGGTTCAATGTGTGAAACCCATTTCTGGTGTCCCTCGCCATTATATTGCTGGAATATGGCTGAAAGCGGCGTAAACCTAAACTTACTTCCTTGCTCATTCACTCAACAAGATATTTAGCAATTTGTCTGCCACAGACACTTAGCTTGAAGTCGTTGATTACTCCCTGGCTTCAGGTAGTCAGGCAATGTCAACAGGTCCAGGTGATAGAGATCCAGACAGAACACAGAGTAGCCATGTTCCCTTGTCCTGACCCCATGCCAAACCCTACCAGTAGAATAGTTTCCCTTACCTTTCAGATGTGGGGGTGGGGGGGAGGATTTGTGTACTTCAACTACAGTATGTTTGATACTGTATTCATTATTCATTTTGGTCCCCGCTCTTCCCTTCCATTGATTCCTATAGTGACAGCCTTTTAGTAGATACCAGTTGTGCATGTCAAGTACTGGAAATATACCTGTCTTACCCTGATATAGTGGGCAGCTGCTGTCAAACTGCCTGCTGACCACAGCTGATGTAGCTGTGATTTTGACATTAGAGTCGAAACAACATCCTTCACTCGCTTTGAATCTTTGTTTTATAGATCTGTTATAATGTATTTTTAAGAACCAACCACAAAATGTATGATTTCACTGATGTTATAACATAGTGGTGTGGATTTCTTCACTGAATTTCCAGTCACTTATCTGCCCTAGACGGTGATTTTCATGCTCCATCTCTCACTCGAGCACAGGTTTTCTTAAGGTCCAAGACTAAGGTCATGTCCCACAGATATTCCAGGACAATGATCCTTGGCTCGGTGACACATTTCTGAGCTTATAGGTTTTAGTAAAGACAATGTGGTTTCAGTCTACGTCAATTTCATCACGCCTTAGCTGGATGCTGTAATATATGATTATTCCAACCTTTAACCTGAAGGACATAACATAAAGGATCTTCTTTGAACATGTTGAACGGTGTGTTTAGCATGTTCAGAACTTAGGCATGTAAAGAAGCTTTTGCCACCCTTCTACTCTCTTAGTCAGAGATGTAGGTTGTGTTGACAGTCCTTATTTACATCAGACTATTTTCTTCTTTCTTAGGCCAAAAATGCAGGTTGTTTTGGGGTGGGAGCTTCCATTATTAATGTGTATTTCCTCAAAATGTAATATGTAGGCTGGTAGCGAGATATTTGGTGATGAGTGCAATAATAATGAATCTTCATTCATTCATTTTAAAAGTAGGTTTAAATATGGGTTTTTGTCATTAGATGTTATATTGTTACTTAATTATGGTTGGTTGAATAAAACACAGTTTTCATATTTTTCATTTCCTTACTGGGGATTTGGATAATTTTTTTTGTTAAAATGAGGTCTTTATATCTTTCATGATATCTTTCATTTGTGTAGTTAATTGGTACTTATGTTTCACCACCTGGTGCAATTGATTTCTCCATGTGCTGTATCTCAACAATCAATAGCCACATGGCGTGTTGAAAAGCACTTTGTCTGTATTCAGATATTTTTCCAAAAGCAGATCAAATTCACTTTTGAATGTTTTAAATATCTTTTCATGGAGCATATTGACCACATGAGCAGTTGAACAAGCAAGTTGTGTCTTTCACGCCTTTTCATGTTAGGAGTTTATGGAGCAGATATCTTGCAAATTTTTGTCCATTATTCTGAAAAATGTGGTTTATCATTTTTTAAGGCTTGATTAGTAATATAATATTCTCGTTGGCAATGTAATTTTTTGGGTCATCACATGATTATGAAACAGTGTTTTTTACACTAGTCTAGAGGACATTAAGAAACCGTATTTCACTTGCCCATGAAGATTTTGCTTAGTCCTGCTTAAACAAGACAATGTATTCTTGGTGGTTACATTTTCTCTCAGTTTCTCTGCAGTAGTAGTTTGTAGCAAGATAGAAGAACTGAGAACAGGTTCAGGATTCCACCTTTCCAATGTTACTGGACAATGAAGACAACCAAGTCTCAATATTTTCTTGTCCTTGTTTGACTTGTGTGATTTTCCAACATTTCTACTTTAGCAGGACTATTGGCTTGTGGTGAGACACTGTTGTCATGGAGGACAAGCATTGTTTCGAAATCAGCGAGTTTCCCTTATTCTTAGGGGATTGCTGCAGTTGTATTTTAATCTGGGCACAACTCAAAGTTTAACTCTTAACAACATGGCAGTGATGGGACAAGGTGTCATGATATGTTATGTCCACTGACATGGTGCACATGGTTTACTAGTTTATCAGCTGTTAGTATTGTGGTACATGCTGCCTTTGATCATGTTGATTGTGGTGCAGCTGCTTCAGTTGACTCCTTCACTGGGTTATTACCATCTTTCACATCCATCTTTTATTGCCCCAACTTAAATAAACTTGGGGACATATAGTTACACCAAGGAATTCTGTCCATCCATCCATCAGTCTATTGGAAGACATTTTTGTTTAACCAATAATTTGAAAACTATTGGTTGGATTGTTTCCACATTTTGGGGATCTCCTTCTTTGTCTGAAGGAGATGTGCAGTGCCAATCATAATTATGAAATTTTAATTATTTATTATTTTAATTAGAATTACATCAATTTGAAATTTGTTTTCAAGTTTGGAAAAGAGCTTCTTTGTCTAAGGGAGAGGTGAAGTGCAAAGTTTGGTTCTGATTTTCATACTTTTGACTTGCATCAATTAACATATTGGGAACTTAGAAAACCCAAAGGAAGTTTTGTTCAACCAGTAAAATGAGAACATTTGAATGGATTGTTTTCAAATTAAGGGATCACCCTCCATAGCTATGGGAGAGGTGCAATGCCAAGTTCTGGTGGTATATTTATTGAGAATTATCAACTACATCTCTTGAACTTAGGAAAAAGTTCCAAATCAAATTTGGTTAACCAAAGCATTTACAATCATCTTATGGATTGTTTTCAGATTTTGGTAATGGCTTCTTTGTTTATAGGAAAGATGCAGTGATCTTGTATGTTTTTCACAAATAATCATGATAAGTTGTTGTTCAGGTGTAGTTGGGAGTCATGGTCTGGTGCATTAGTGGTCCTTGCTCACAATATTTTGCTTGTTTTCATTTGTGTTCCTATTTTTTCACTTTCGTTATTTTTTCTGAGCATAGTAAGATTTTGTTTTAAAGTAGAAATTTGTGTTTCCTCTTCTTGACAAAGGGTCCACATGAGTGCATCGTATTTGTGTTGTGGCTCTAGTCTTTAATGTATTACCATGTTGTGTGTTTTGTTGATTGCATGTCACTGTTTGTGGCAGCATGGGCATTGCTCACAATATCAATCACTGGATTGTCTGGTTGAGATTTGATTTATTTTTATCGTCTTGTATTGCATGTGGTGCCCAACATACACACACAGCTGAAACATGGCTGAATTTGAAGGGACACACACCATTATATTTGAAATTTAAGTTATCGTATGCAATCCTGAACTGTTGATTCAGTGTGTGTGTGTGTATCGATGCAATTAATACAAGTCTGTATATCTACATACCTATTATTTCAGACTTATGCAGCTGAAGGTCGGTTTACCTTCACCTCCCACTCGGCTGGGGAGCACGTGGTTTGTCTCCACTCCAACTCTACAGCCTGGTTCTCTGCTGGACAACTGGTGAGTCCCCTCTCAAGTAACTCTAACAGTACCATCATTTCACCATTGATATTTCATTCAACATTGAGAGAGCAGAATACTTCTCTAGGGTCCTCGGATTGTCACTGAGCCAGCTTATCAGGATCATGTTGTATGATCATGTGACATGGCTTGTGTTTTAGTCATCCTGTCCGGACAGGGAAAGCCACTGGTTTGACTGGCACAGGCTTAATTATTTGATGCCTCTTATCATGTGGTTGGAAAGTTGCTGATAGTAGTGTAACACAGCAGCCTTGTCATGGCAACCGGCCAAGGTGACGCAAACAAACCTGCAGGTCTTGAAATGCGAATACCATGCATATCATGAAAAACACTGGACATTGTGCAGAATGCCTTTAAATTACATCACAATATTATAGAAAATCAAATAGAAATGGATCAAAGAAATGAGAAATGATGAGATTTATACATTCCAAGAGAGCCTTGAAAGATTGTACAGTGCAGTTATTTGCCAGTTTGATTTGCATTACTTTAAAGGAAGATACAAGATTTATGGCATGTGTAAATAAGAAACGTTATTGTTTTAGCTGAAGATAATATCCTTGGCCCTGTGGGTAGTTTAATCTCCATCCCTGCTAGATACCATATGTAAATGCAGCTAATGTCAGATTTGCCCTGTGATTGTACACTGATGTGTTTGTTTTCAGCGAGTGCACCTTGACGTGCAAGTAGGGGAGCATGCAGTTGACTACCAGCAGATCCAGGCCAAGGACAAACTAAGTGAGCTTCAGCTGAGAGTGAGGCAGCTGCTGGACCAGGTGGAGCAGATCACCAAGGAACAGAACTACCAGAGAACTATGGGAGGCTGGCCTAGCAAGGGTGGTCAGAGGGTGGGTAGATACAGACTCACTGACTTGGAGTAGATGGCTTGGTGTTGTTGGGTGACAGTGGGAGGCTGGTACATTGGGGAGGCTGGTCTAGCAAGGGTGGTCAGGGGTAGGTGGGCTGGGTGGTGTGGGTGAGATACATTGCTGGGATGGGGAAGCATGGCTGGAAACAAGCCATGTCGGATGACTTGGAGTAGGTGGCTTGGCTTGGTATTGTTACATTGGGTGACAGTGTTAGACAAGTGCAGCTTATGTGGCTGGTGTTAGACAATTGGATTGCTGGGTACAGTGACTCGTTGTAGCAGAGCGGCTGTGTTAGACACGCTTAGCTTGTATTGCTGGGTACATTGGAGTGACTCGTTAGCAGAGTGGCTGTGTTAGACAAGCTTAGCTTGTATTGCTGGGTACATTGGAGAGGCTCGTAGTCAGATGCATGTGTTAAAACAGGGTGACTGGTGGTCAGGGGTTAGCAGGGAAGCTTGTCTAGTAAGGGTGGCTGTCGTCTAGACATGGTGTGCTAGGGTACAAAGGAGTGGCTAAGGCAGGGGCAGATACAGCTTTTTGAGAAAGGGTGTGTGCACACTCTTGAGAAAAGGAGGGGTGCACGCTTCATTTTCACCTGTTTTCATGGGTCATTTCAATAAACTTGCAAACCTGCAAACAACAACAACAACAACACACACACACACACACACCCCCTCTCTGGATCCACCTATGCTAAGCTTAGCAGGGAGGTTGGGCTGGGCCACTAGGATGTCCTTGTTTGAACTGGTGTGCTAGGTTACATCAGAATGGTTTAGTGTAGCAGGGATGGCTGGCTTGTAGGTAGACCCGAGTTGCTAAGGGTACTTTGGGGTGCCTTGCAGCAATGTCTTGTAGATAGACAAAATTAGATATATACATTCATATCTATTTGATGTAATTTGTTGTAACTTACAAACAATAATCTTTCTGTACTGTTCTCATTGTCCTTGTGTTTGTTATGTATTATTTTCAAATCTCTTTGGACACATGTCCCACGTTTATCAATGACATTGTATTGTGTGTTTCAGTACCGAGAGGAGCGGTTCCGGTCCACCAGCGAGAGCACCAACCAGAGAGTACTGTGGTGGTCCATTGCTCAAACACTCATCCTCCTTGTAACAGGATTCTGGCAAATGAGACATTTAAAGAGCTTCTTTGAGGCTAAGAAATTAGTTTAATTAATACCTTCAACATGGGCACAGTTAATGAAATCACAAAATTAAAACCCAAAGAACAGAACTAAGAATAATATTTTTAAGTGAAATCGAACTTCAGGAAACAGTTGAAACAAATTTAATTTTTCATGATGTTAAAAGAGCTCTGACTGAAGGATGAGTGTTGTAAGAGTTACTTCCCTTAGCCCATTTCCTGGTTGTCTATTCGTGAAAAGCTTCCATTTTCTAACAGTTATGATCATCGTGATTATATCATTCCATTGTCATGACAAGTCCTAGTTCTACTGACTGTGTCCACAATAACTGCCTTAAAATCATGGAAACCTGTTGTGTGACTGGCTGTTTGAAAGATCATCTGGAGCAATTGGTGAATGCATGGGGATGAGTGTTGTTGTCTTCAAGATTTAAGAATATATGCACGTTTTATTTAAATATTATGTACAGTACTTTCAGGTATTTTATTTGGATTATTTTCCTGCTAATCCATTGAGTGTTAACATGTTCTGTACTGTTTGTTCTGTCTTGCATGGTAAATATAAACAGCAGTGGGTATTACGTACTGAATGTGACTGTACATAAGTTGGTTGATGGAGTGTTAGTGTTTGGGTTTGGGAAAGACATCAATATAATCTGTAACTCAAAAGCTGTAAACAGGCTATAGATGTTATCATTGTAAAAAATAGCAGTAAGTGTTGTAATTTTGTTGAAATAAAATGATAGTCCTTTTTGTTATCATGCGAGTATTACAGTTTTTGTTAAACTTTTCTAGTAGCACAGTTGACTCAAGATTGATAATCTTCCATTGACGTTTTGAGACAACTGAGGCATATATAAATTTCTTGAATTGATCCCAAATTCCCGAGCATTTAGGTTAGGAAAGAATTGAGCTACTGTCTGCCCATTTAACAGATCTGAAAGGAAAATTGATCATGTAAGGAGTGAAATTTTGATAACCCTAGTCACTGAATGATAGCCGAAAGACTTGCTGAAATAATATTTTTAATAGTCAGAATTTACCATTAAAATAACTGAGAAGCTGGTTTGCTCTTTTGTTTGGCTGCAAGAAATTCTTTATTAACAATTTGTGTGATATGCTAAGCTTTAAGAAGTAACAGGATAGCATGGAGCTTTAGCTTTCTGTATCATTCAGATAGGTCAGTGATGTAATTATCTTGGTAGCTATAATAAATATGTTTTATGAAAAATTATTGTGTATATTGTTGTATTTTACAACTCATTGCCATGTTAATGAGAGAAAAAATCTATGCATGTGTAATCCACATGTAATTTGCACGTTCAGTGTGAATAAACATAGGTTTTCATCATGGTTTATATGGTAAAGACTTGCATCTCTCAAAGACATCCCCCCTGCACACACACACACACACACACACACACACACACCCAAACAACACACACACACACACTGGGTCCGCCTATGGGCTATGATGTAGCTGAAATAATGTTCAAAGTAGCAGTTACTGAACTTTAATAGAGCTTATATGCAAATGGCTTAGTTTTGTTTGTGGTTTAACCCCACACTCATCAATATTCCAGCTATGTGGTGGTGATCTGTAAATAATTGATCCGATCCCGTCACTCACCACTTACTACAGGCATGGGTTGCTGAAGATCAGGATCTTCCGATTGCTAACCGGGATCTTCATGGGTGCGATAGTTTTGAAATTTGCTAATTTATAAAAGCCAGGGTTATGTCAGATTATGAAACGTGTCCCCGAATCCATGCTCAGATGAGTTTAAATGTTACATGCATTTGTTTAACTTTTTATTTTTGCGGGAAAGGAATATACTGAAAAAAGATCCGTTGAATTGCCAGATTTGACACCTCATTTGCAAATTTTGGGGCAATCCAACCAAATATTGCCACATGGCACTAAACGATTTTTTATGGTTCAGTGTCATCCAAGCCCAACAGTGTGGAGAGTTCCCCATTGTACCCATCACTGGATTGTCTGGTTTAACCTGAACTAATCCCAGACTTTGTCATATAGCCAGCATACAGTACAGGGTTATACATGTACAGTAACTTACACAACCAACAAATAATGAAATGTAGCAGTTAGATGATTTTTGTGGCCTGTGACAAAAAGATCTGGTGGTCGATGGACTAAAATAGATACTATTCTGTCCTTACAATATTAGATATCCCTCATTGTTGGAGATCCGAGCCAGACATTGTGCTGCTTTGAATATATTGTCAGACTTGGCTGGGACTGGTCTTCCAAGGTCAAGGGAGGCAACTGACGGAAATACGTCTTTATTCCGCTTGGACGTTTATAGTTAGTTATCTCCCTTGCCCCGGATGGAACGCTGCTCTTGCAGGTCCACGGTAATTGGTGATGTAGATTCCAATGTTTACATGCCATGTTCCCACTAAATTATTGCGATAACAACAATAATGAGAACGTATATCAAATTTCCTTCAAATGCCCCCGTGCATTTTGCACATGTTCTACCCGAGTACGTGGCGTTGCTAGTACCTTCAGCAACTGAGATGTGTTCCAGACCATTGGATCATTTAATACCAACATTATTGCTTCCATATGGTCTTCCCCATAAGCGTGTCAGAGATCTATGATCGAAAGTTTGTCATCACCATACACGGGCTCGTGGTTATTCAAAAATGGTAAACGCTAGCATTGTTTGAGGCTTTTCCCCAGATAAACCTGAGACGCCGTTATGTAACGGTAACTGGAATGCAGTTCTCACCAGCGTTAAAACTCACGCACCCAATATCGCCTGTCAATGTTACGTTTCTGCGTTGACAATTTGCGTTGGGTTCTGATGATGGGAACATCACACGCTCATTTGCATGCACACAATCGTCTAACAGTTCATTGTAAGAGACCTACACAGACATCTCACACTCATCATTTAACTTGTATAAAATATGATACTATGATATTATCTGACGTTTTAGTTTCTGTTGGTCATCTTCTGGTAAATAGAAGTATCCTTTTCCAAGAGTTATCAGATATGACAATTCAGCCGTGCAATTTGTGGCTCCATCTTATTCAAACCTAATTTATAAAGGGTGTTATTCCTCAAAATACTTTCATTTCGATTTCATTGTAGGATATGTTCCAGCTTATCTCAACGAGTTAACTTCACACATATGTTAACTTTCATTCTTGAAAGGGACAAGAAACATTAATAAACGACTTAACATTCATATTGGCAATTAATCAATCAATATTAAAAACAACCGACTTCTATCTCAAGTTCAGCAGTGCACGGACAAAATATATTCAGAGACGTAAACTATTTGCTTGCTCTGTTTTGAAACAAATACGACAGGTTTCTGTTTGTAACTAAGCCAAACGATTTTACACGGGAAATATAATTGCAGTTGTGTCTTGAATGTCAATAAACTCGTGATGACAAATGTCAAGTGGACAAGGCCTCATCTGAACTTGATATAGTCGATCCATCTCCGTGTTATTTATTCAAAAGGGTATGGGAACAAATTCACACGAGTTAAACAGGCATTTAGTAACGAGGGATGTCAGATTGTTGCTCAAAGGACAACGAGTGAGTGAGGGTATGAGCTTGAGTTAAAGCTTCTTTTTGCTGTAGAGCATAAACGATTCAGGCTTAAGGTCAGTACGACCACGTGCATGGTTCTGACAATGAAAGATCGTTGTAGGGCGAGCCTTGGCTTCAAACCCACGATCAGCAGACCCTGTCACGGCTAAGGGGCCTAAGAAGTTAGACGTAGGGATGTATTGGTAAAACTCCAAACAACCAAATAGGACAGACAAAGCATTGACCCTGTGCACAGAGGTGTTTATTAAATAAATAGGACACAAAAAACATTCCACATCGGGTTAACTCATGCAAAGAAGACACCGTCCATGTCTTATGGTGTAGGTTCACAGTAGATCGGGTCCGCATCCTCGCTCTACCGTGAAGCAGAAGCCTGCTGCACACCACTGGTGCAAGAGGCTTCATGTCATTTTATAGTGAGATACAACGACAGGTCCGACTTGTAACAAAAATTATACACATTTTAACAGCATATATATGACCTGGGTTTGATTCAAAGAAATCCTGATGCCCAACCCCATCATGAAATGTTCACACAGACTTGACGAGATGAAAGAGTTCGACCAAGGGAGACCCTGGGTAGACTACAGGTTCTACAGAGAGAAAGAGATAGACAGAGAGACCTGGGCAGTTTATACCAGAAGTTCCCGGGCCAACAGATGAAGAGGACAGAGTTTGACAAACCGACCACTGTCACGTGGTCCCTCCCCAGGACATATTGTGGGGATGGACCACAGGGGTGGTCGGCCATCAGACCCAGTCCCCGTAGCGTGATTCTGAAGGCATACGTAAGCGCACCAAATTGGGCAGGTGGTCTGCGCCTTGGTGCTGTCGTGGTTGTAGCTGAAGTGACTTTGAGCGCTCCTATCCGGAGTCCGGGAGTCGTGATGGTAGTTGAACCCTGCCGCCATTGGCTTATTAACATCCAATCAGAAAATGGAATGCTGTACACTCTTTGGCCCGAGAGCTTCCGGTGAAAGGTTTTAGAATCTAATATTATCTACACGCATCCCCTCTTTGCCTAAGACCCCGGGATCATTTATGGCTTTCGCGTCGATGGATTAGTGTGGTTCGTGCCCCTGGGGCAGTACTATCACAGAGAGGGTCCCCGGGGGCTATGGGGAGGGTCAGAGGCTAAGAAGTGTGGGTTGATGTGAGACTTGATGCTCATCTAGACTAGGCTGCTGCCATTTCCTCCTCGTCTTGTTTACCCTTGATTTTAGATACAAATTCATTGTAGTCGAACAAGCCTTTCTCAATGGGGGATTCCTTCCATGTCTGTTTGATCTGAACAAGAAGAATGTACATTGATGAATACTAAGTTAACGCTGATGCGTTGACACAACATGGTGTCTACTATTTATATATAACCAGTAATCACTGGAGGTCGCAAAAGCAGTTTCTGGTCAAATTGAATTAACTCACATAAACATGTGTTTATAAAGCCAAGACATGTTGATCCCAAAGGAGGAAAATGTCATTTTTAGATATTCTATATTTCCCTTCAAAGGACCTGTTACACAAAAGATCGTATTACTTTATTCGTTTCTTAAATATGATTTCAAGCTACGTGACGTTGATGCATGCTGTCTTCTACTCACCTCATCTGAGGTAAAATTATCACCCATATTTTGTAATAAATCCTTGACGCTGAAAAAAATAATAGAAAGGCTTTGACTATCGAAATATGTTATCAGATACACACAGGTAGGATTTAAAGGTAACTGGAAATGACTTTTTCTTTTGTGAATTCAGAATGCCTTTTAGAAAGTGATCAAAAGTGGCATGTTTATTTGGGATTATATTTTCTCAGTCAAGAACAGTCTAGTTCGTTGTGGGGTTGAGTCCCATCCAGGATTCGAACCCACACTCTCAAAGTGAGGCACATAATCGCCAGCACACAAAGTAAGGGAGGTAACCGAATCAGTCACCATTGTTTCGTTTTCTTCTTATAACAGAAAATGACATTTAAATTGTTAACCAAACACCACGTCGGTGGCTTATGTCGGAAGCAGTTCCTGAAGGTACTCACTATTCTTCTGGAAGTTTTCCCTTGCCAGCATCATCGAACATGGCGAATGCATTCCTGATGGTATCCTCGGGGTCTGTGCCTGAAAACGGAATAAGATAACATATATATAGCATTGTAGCAGGGACCATTTGTATGTGGTCCGTAGCCATGGCAACAGTTTCCCTGCAAACCAATATGTTTTCTCACTGGTTATGTACCATAACACAATGGCATTACGCCCTGGCATACCATTCTGGTGTCCAACTGTTTTAAATCACCGATGTAATAGCATCATACTAATCAGTATAGTTTTGATACTTTGTTACCATGGGAATGTTTCTTTTCATTGCATATCGGAGGTGATATAACAGCTTCGCTTATTGTTGCCATGGAAACAATCACTCTCGGTGAAGATTTGTCCTTGGCTTCCATTACAAACCAATGATGTTTTGCAATATAATGCATCGTTTTAAAATCCATGATAGTTTCCATATACTATATTTTTATGATGCAATTTTGAAGTTTAATTCCCATGAGTTTCTCTTTGCAGTTTGTACTTACCACTCAACTTTTCACCGAACAGGTTTAAGAACATAGTGAAGTTAAGTGGTCCTGGTGCCTCGGCCAACATTTCCTTGAGCTCTGCATCTGGGGGTATTCTTCCTGAAACACCATCAGTTTAATGGTCAGTTCTCGGGGTCATTTTAAATAACCTTTAAAGTCCGCATAATAAGACTAGTCCAGAGGAATAGTGTTAACATAATTTTACTAGTCCTCTAAGTACAGAATTAGTTCTGCTTGCACGAGACAGAAGTGTTTGCAAAGCCTATTTGACTTGATCTTTTAAAATAAAATTTACATGTAAACTTTCAAGATGCTTTCAATAGACATTACCATCCGTACTTCCATAAACGAAATGGGCTAAAAGTGTGATGTTCCCGCCGTTATATTGCTAGACTATTGCTTAAAGCAGCGTAAAACGCAACTCACTCACTCATGCTGTAGAGGCATCTTTTATATAGTACTTATTATTCACATCTTGACTTGTTCATTGATAGTGTTTAATATACATGAACGAAATTACCTTCGATGCATGATTCAATACTCACCAAAGTTACCGTACATATCCTTAAGATCTTCAATATCGATTACACCATCTCTGTTTTGGTCGATCATTGTGAAAGCCTAAAGAGCAGTAAGTATTGTTAACAAACATAGTTCCACGAATGGCCACACAAACACCCGGAAATGGGTGTATAATGGGTGTTATACAAAACACATAAAACTATCCAGTGAACATATATAAATGTCCAAAACAATTGATCATTTTCATCTTTTAAAATAAATACATCTAACCACTTTGAATTATCTGATTGTTTTATTTAAAATTTTAATAAAAAGATATGTATGTAATTCGACAGCATTCGTATATATTATTGTTAGGTTATATATTGTTTAGATATATGGGTGGATAACGTCATATTATTGAAAGAGGTGCTTAATTTGTTAGTTATAGAAAGATCATAAATCATTCATGATGATTGGTCAGAGTAAGTTGAAAGAGGAATCTTATTGGTTGATGGCGGTGCACGCTGGAATTTCACCCACTGGTGGGGAAAGTCAGTCAATAAGGGAGATAACTCGGGTCATCTTGGCAGGCATAAGAACAGTTTGAAGGTTGACGTGCGATAGGTTAAACATGGTCATCTTTGAAGTTCAAATAAGTCTTTTAGCATGCTTTCGGTTCAGGGGGGATTGTGTTTTATTTTTGAACACCTGTGAGTATTGTTTGTGCGTGGATAGATACTTGAAGCTCAGGGAACAACGATTTTCTCGTAAGTTGCAACAAATATATGTTTTCGTAATCCATAGATAGGTGGCAGGCACGATTTTCGTGCAGTTTTATTCTCCAATGGATCTTTCTGACATACGTTACATGCTTAAATATGTCATTAATTCATACAACATTGCCCAAATCATGTATTGAAGGTAGCAGCTGTTTTAAAATATGTTTCCCTTTGTATCCATGCATTTCATCCGGTTAAGAGAGATTGTTAGTCATAAGTACGTAACGAGAGGATATTGCGGTTAATTTTGTTATGGTTGTATAGTCATGCGCCATAATTCTTCATGTCACCGGATATGACGTCATGTGATACGTCTCGTTTTCTGATTGGTCACCTCTTTGAACTCCTGAACCTGACTCTGACGAAACATCGCAAAAACGTTGGATGTTGCACGCTGAGCGCGCTTGGGTTCATCCCTTTTACTTTTAATTGCCTGAAATACAAGAAAATGTTACGGCATCAGTTTATGTGTTCCTTTAAGCACAGTTTGGACAAGACGACCCTACCTCTTTCATTTCTTGCATAGTTTTCTTAGACATTTTTGCAAAGACGTTTGAGGCCTGCCTCTCCCCGCGGCCTTTCTTCGCTGCCTGTGAAACGAATAAAAAAGTGAAACACCGTTAATAACGACAGAAAAGTCTCTTTTATTTGAAAATGCCACTTACTTTAAGACGTTTTCGTTTAAATGATACTACACTAAAATTCATTGCGAAAAATATTTCAAAACAAGTTTACCATTTACTCACAGCACAATAGATGCACATGTCACGTGTTTTCGTTGTATATCAAATACAAACATGAATATAAAAATTTGTACAAAATCAAACAAACTATTCACAAACAAGACTGCATTCCTTTCTATTGAGAACACTCTAAGTGGCATTCAACAACTTTTATCACAACAAATTCTAACCATTGAAAAATGCTGTTACCTACTTCATTTCAGATATATTTTTCAGTGGCATTTTCAAACCTCAGACAATAAGAGACAGGACCATCGGTTTCGTATGCCAGATTATCCGAGCTTGCTATGTCCAGATGTCGAGTCAACACTCGATATTGAAAGAATCTGTTGTGTCGAAATAATTTGTATGCATTTATCAGTCGAAAATGGATCAATGCATCGATTGATTTTACAACTGAAGTCTCAATGTTACGATGACATCTAAACAAATAACACTGACAACCAGATCCATTGTGTCGCCTCGTTATAACACTTACTTCAACAGCTTGCAAACTGGGGTCATCAGTCGTAAGGAAACTAGAACATATAGTTTGTTAAGACGAAAGCTATTGTAAAGTTTCGCATGTAAATTATCTTAATAAATGATCGTCGCTACTATGTCGAGTGTCACATGACTTAGTTTTATATATCTTAAATAAGTAAGTTTTACCCTACTTTTAGCAATATTCCAGAAATATCACTGCGGCGGACACCAGAAATGGGCTTCACACATTGTACCCATGTGGAAAATCGAACACTACTCACCACTAGACTACCCCACCACCCCTCCAAGAACCTTTTATTAACTTTTAACGTATCATCGTGCCATAAAGTGGATCTGGTTTTTAAATGCGGCCTGTAGGCACATGAGGGCAATCTGTGATTTAGCAAATCCGGCTTTCTGTAGGCACATGAGGGCAATCTGTGATTTAGCAAATCCGGTGTTCTGGCGTACGAAACAAGTTACATCTACATCACCGGTGGGCAAACTCGTCAACATTCACACGAGCACTCTGCTACGGTGCCACTACCCTCCACGACCAACCTAGACGGGGGCACTACAAAAACCTTAAAAGCTGCAACAAAAGCAAATTTAATAAACAGCCAAAATTAAATCTACAAACAATATCAATAGCACCACAGTGATGTCTAGAGACTACCAAAAACAACACACCGCTAATTCAATGTCTTCTTTACAAAATATGTGCGGCTATGATTCATAGTGCTTCATTCGTGAACTAATAGGGTTCATATACGTTTTAAAATAATAATCATTATTTACTTTTTTTAAATTTATTCCCTCCCAAACCACATCTGATCTTTATCACACTTAAATTTGTGTTTTCCATATTGAAATATTGTCCCAGTTTGAAAGCCGTAATCATATTTCTTTACCATAGATACTGTTAACCAGACACGTGTCAAAATATTGTTCAGAATTCGGCACTATTACCTAATATCAAATTTACACAAACCAGACCCAGAGCAAATCTATTTGGAATTAAATACTTTCTATCAGGTTGTACAAAGTACATACAGAGTAAGGGAAAGAATGTGTATAGGAGAGAACGATAGACAGATAGATCTAGAGAGACAGAAGAAAAGACAATGGACTGTTTGCTCTGGACCAGATATCACTCAACGAATGCACATGTTGCTATCACACAGGTATATGCACTTAATATTTTTCATATTGACACACAAACAAAAACCTCAATATGAACAAGATATACATACAGTTAAATTTGAAATTTCGTAAAAACATAAAACGAATTTATAAAAAAGTGTTATGTTTACAGAACATTGAAGGGTTTCCACACTTTGATATGCATGTAATAAGACAAATAAGTCATGTAATAAGACAAATAAGTCATAGGTTACATTAATAACATATATTGCAATATTAGTATCATTTTATAAAATGACTTTAACGACATAGGTCATCGAATATATTCATGTAAATTGATAGCGTTTGTTTGGAATAATTGACAATACAAAAGTCAACATTTTAAGGAGTTGCACATATATTTGTCTAATAAAAGTACACTTTATTTTGCATCTATCGGTTGTCACAATACTTCAATCACGGCAAACGGTAGCTTCTATCACAGGACTTCTCTACGATACTGTAGGAAAAACGGATCTACTTTCATAGGTCACGATGTCGATACAGAAGTACCTGCAACTCCCTCCGCCGTAGCGAAAGTAGTTCCAGGTGTCACGCATGCGCAGAACGTTACCATCTTACTTACCTCTTCTGCCATTTTGGTTCTGAAATAAACAAGAAATGAACATTATTGACGTATTTTCAAAACGAAATTATAGAAGCATGGTGCAATATAAATTAAATAGACACACAAACTTGATTATAAAAAGGAAAGAAATCTTAAATAACTTTTTTCCTTAAATGATATATATAAGTTCCTACTTTTTATAGTCAGATATAACCGTTTCAGAGATAGCTTGATGTTTTATACGACAATGATAACCACACTTCGACACATCAGCACATTTTTTCCTCCGCCTACATACATAACTGTCGGCAGTAAGCGATAAGCTAGGTAATTTTGGCAATGGGCCAAGTCGCCTGTACCGGCGGTACCATCTGAGTCTTCGATCAAAGGAACATTCCTTGTACGTTGCCATAGTAACGAAGAGAGCACATAGAGGATTCTTCCAAAAGCTCCCATATATCTGTCCGACCTGTGCTCCTCCTTCCTTGCATGCTGCTTCACTAAGGCGGTTAGAACAGAAGAAACCTTTTTTTGTTGTTGGTAACAATAAGATAATCTGTGAATCTCTATTACATTCGTGAACGCGGTAGAATGTAAACACTTGGAAAGATTTTTAAATGATCAAAGAAGTAAGAAATGTCTATCTTTTGAAGTTTACTCTTTCGAGAATGGTATCGTAACTCCAGTATACAACTGTCTGTTTCTTCGGGCTAGTTTTTAATCGCATCTTTAAACAAAACTTTAATTATGTAAATCTGGGGAAATATCTATTCCTTTATAAGATAACAAGGTTTGGTATAGATCTACAACTTCTTTAATATTTACAACTCGACCTTTATTTCTATGTGTACAGTATCGCCACTATCTTGCCCAAGTCTCCAACTGTCTCCCACCATTGTATTACTTGCGTTATCAAACTACAGAGTTGGAACGTACCTCCTTTGTATCTGAGATGTTTCTGCCTATTTTGTATTCACTGTGAATACATTTTGCAGTTTGTAGTATATTGCAAGTATTTCTTCAGGAAACGTTTTCACAATAAATATCTTAGTCTCTCATTCTGAACTTGCATATGATGATTATGGGTACAGCGATGTCCATGTTTCAGGTTCCATGCCAAAAGTTTACAAGGTTAAAAGGCCGTCAAAGGTCAGAAGGGTTATGCACTGAAAGAAGTATAACTTGCCGGAAACTACGAGGAAATTAACCTGCTTAAGCACTGTCCGGTATACTTAGATTAAACTTTAAATACAGTATTTAGTATTATCATACTTTACCAGAAACGTATATTTATTGTAGTTCAGCATTTATAGCATGGGTGTGATATGGCATATATTGTCAATTTAGTGAAGCCTATAAATCAAGTATAAAACATCCAAGGCTTAATGGCAGGTGCACTGCATCAGGCTATCCCCGCCACAACCCCCGTCCTCTCCCCCACTCACGTCCCCTTCCCCTCACTGTACAAAATTCAGCCAACGTACTTTGAGATCCCCGACCTCTACAAATACAGAGAGTACTTCCAAGAAAACGTCTAAAATTGGCACGGGGAAATCTAATACCCTCTACTCCATCTTCCCCCGTGCACGCGCCTACACCACACAAGCTCGGCTTCAGCGGAACAGATAGCATCCAGTGAGGCCTCTTTAGGGTTGTATAATTGAACGTAGGTTATAGACGTGTCAGTTTGTCTTACATCCGACATGCTGAATAAATATTACACGCTGCTTTGAAGTATAACAGTTTTCTTTTCAAAGGTGAACAATATTGTGGTTAAGCTTTGTTTCTTAGATAGGTATGTTTTCACAAATCCTTATGAGGGCCCCGGATGATTCTGAAGATGATGGTAGACCTATGCTCTTTACATCTTGTTACCTTCACTACCATGCGAATGGAGCATCTGGATTGAATAGCAACACACGCACTGCCTCAGAACATTGCTCTCTCTCTAGATGGACATGGAATTTTTTCAGGTACCAATAAAGAGATTATGGGCTGTGGCACCGTCTGTATTTGCACACACACCCCACCCCACCCCACCCCACACACACACCACCACCTTCAACCCCCACACCCTTTTTTGACAAACTGAAATTTGTGTAGGGCTATTATGACATGTAACCTTGAAACATTTATCTTAGTTAACATTGATGTTGTCTGTATAATGTTGAAGTTTCACAAACTGGAAAATGACAACAAAAGAAATTGACAGCTGAAATCGACAATGCTTGTTCGTTTCACGGTTGAACAGCACGATGATGTTGAAACAGGGGAAGTGACTGTTATTTCACTTCAGCCTCTCTGAGTAGTAGCAAAGACGCCAATACCAACATATGTCGTATTTTTTAGCAGGCAACAAACTGCTGAGTAATCACCGTTTCAAAATAGACAAACAGAATACACTATCATTACAAACAAAAAGTTATTTGGGCCATGGATATCAAAGAGAAATCCTTCCAGACGTTTCAAGGTCTAAGTGTCTATTTCACCGTATGCCTTGTCAGTCAAGACAAAGACTACATCGACGTGAAATTGACAAGATAGTAAAGGAGAGCACGCGAGAGGCATAATTTACGATGGTACTGTACTGTTTGTGTTACCGTGTTAATTAACACCACCTGGCTAAGTAGAGAAAGTCATAACACAATCCCTGCGTTCCTAGATACCCGATGACAGACGCGAAACTACTGGGGTATAACGCTGGTATGTGTTAGAAGAAATGCATACAGCACATGTAGATTGTTGGAACAATTACCCTATGCCAACCATAATGAAGGGATAATTCAACATATCGCAGCAGTGGATCATCTAATCTAAAGCAATAAATGTTAATAATTCTATATATATTATAAACGGGATTTTTTATAAAATGTACGTTTTTGCGGTATATTCTCATGAATGATAAAATGAACCTGAAAATGTAAATGATTTTAGATTTTCTTACCTTTAATTTGGTTCCGAAGACTGGTCTAAGATCTAAATACCGGTAGCGGACACTCGACTGGGCTGAGCACAGGGCGCTACGAAAGTGATTTCACCACACTCCGTTATTATGCATACCTCAAGCCGATGACGTCACGGCCTCGATTCTCCATATCGGGAAGGCTGCCCTTTAGCCACGCAGGGTGAGGCTCGCTTGAGAGGGGGGCGAGGCAAGAAAGGCACTACCAATCGAAAAGTCGTGAAAAATCTCCCATTACATTCACTAAACGGGTCGCGAAACTATTTAAGCTACGGTCGTATGAATGTTGCCAAATGTTAAGTCATAATCTCTTTCAACTCATTAAGATTAGACTGTGACCGGAATCTCTTCCTTTGGAAATAACAATGATGCGATCAATTGAAGATTTAACACGGGTTAGTGTATTTCCACTTTTTATACGCTGTTTTATTTCTTATAATTAATATTTATTTCAAATTTATATATATTTTATTAAGTTTAAAGCAGTACAAATCGGTGCATTATCTACCATACCTACTGATTGCTTCTCCACACCTTCTGTTGGAACGTAACGAGATTTTTATAAGTGTTTCTCAGGGTGTGTATTTTTATATCAACTAGACGCTTACAAACTAAGTACACTTAGTCTGATAGTTATTGCAGACGTCTGTTGAACTAAGATGATATAACGCCTGTTCCAGCATTCCCGAGTCAACGCTTCAGGTGTCGATTACTTGGCGTGTTGCCACCTACCTGCCACCTAGGTACTGAAGTTGTAACAAGGACCTGCCGGTATTGTTCATCATTACTCAACTGATTACTTATTTTTACACTTCTGTGTATGTGGGGCATGGGTGTTTGGCACACGCAGAGGCATATGGCATCACAGTCTGTTACTTACCGTTACTTTACGACATACAACGTAGCTGAACATCTGTCTCTCTTCAGCAAAACAACTGTATATTAATTACGTATTCGGGTAATACAATCTGTGTCTGTTGGATTCCACCTATTCTCCTTCGGTATGGCTGTAACGCCTCATGTCAGAGTGAAAGACGTTGTGAAACTGTGACGTTGTGACGTTATGACGTTTTGACGTACGATTCACATTTTCAACGCTCATTTTGACGTGGTACATAAACATATTTTCAATAGTACATTACAGGAAAACATGCCAGTCATGATAATTCTGATTGTTCCACGATGCAGTTGCTAACGTGATATTAATATAGAAATAGCTGAAAGTGGTTTACTATGTATACCTTTAAGACACTTGTGAGAAGAAAGAAACGTGTACTATGCGAAGCTGGGTGTAGTTTTAAGCACACTTTGAAATATACTGCTAGTTTGTGCGACTGTAATGTTTCGCCATAACGTCATATATAATGTTTCACTATCTAGGGTCAACGGCCACGTATTAATATAACGTAACTATGTTGCAAGAAGCTGTGTTTGGAAGTCACAATTGTATCGGTATCAATCAGCTAAACCTATGTCCTATGTCTCAAGAACCTCCACAAGATTGGACACCACTTTAAGTTGCATTAAAGGCAGATTTCAGAGGTGTACATATAAATTTTGGTTTATCCATTAAACACAATCCCGTGAAGATCTGGGTTAGAATTGATTTTCAGTAACCCATGCTTTGTCGTAAGAGGCGACTAACAGGATCGGGTGGTCAGACTCGCTGACTTTGTTGACACATGTCATGGTATCTCAATTGCGTAGATCGATGCTCATGCTCTTGATCACTGGAGTGTCTGGTCCAGACTCGATTATATACAGACCGCCGCCATATAGCTGGAATATTGCTTGGAGACACATAAACAAACAATTGCTTTCAGAGTACCAAAGTCGTGAATCATAAATTTAGCTTTGCGTTGCTAAATTCAGAATCCTCATTTTAACCACCATTTACAACACTGGATCAGTACCAAACATAGTTGACAACCATCCAGATTGAAGCCTCCCTCACTACGGGTCCAAGTCCCGGTGCAATAGCATTAATTAAGTTCAACACCAACACAAGCAGTAAGCGCCTCCCTGCACACAAGGTAGAGCCATATCCCACACAGTTGAACTGCTTAGACTAAGTCTCATTATGTTTCTTGCAGACGTGCAACATCAACAACTGCGATGCCATAGTCTACATACCACCTCCTGCTGCAAGCTAGGTACTTTATGTTGTGTTTTGTAAATGCACAGCTATTCTCGATGAGTGAAGGGGTCCTACCTCTCAGATGTGTCTGCTTCAACCGACAAACATACCTGGTTGCTACTGGTTGTGTTGATTCTTGTGATGGCAGTTGCACACACAAGAACTTTGTGTACATGCCAGTATTTGAAGAAAATTCTGGTTTGGCTGTGCTTAATCTAGCTTTCCCAAGAGCTCTGAGTAAAATAATTTAGGTTGTTAGAAGTTGTTTTGCCAATAATTTACCCAAGATACCACAGCGTTAAGGTTCTTGGTTTAAAGGGAAATTCAGCGTTCATTTATCCAATATCATACGTTATCATGCCGGAATTAAGATCCTTGTTTTACATACATTTCAGCATGGCATTCAAGGGAGGGTGAGGTTATTGTGGTCTACGGTTTTACTGAACGGTTTGGCGTTCCAATTGCTTTTACATGAAATGCGATTTTGATTTTAGAATGCATGGTCGTATTACATTGTGCATGCTGTTTAAGGAACCATTCATTCTTTCATGTAACATTCATACAGTTGTCATAAATGATGCCCAATTTCACCATATAATATATATTTCTGTGTGGAGTGTATTTAATATTTGAACTACAAACGGTGTTAACGACGATAACTGGCCAATTTTGCCGAACTGCAAAAGCTTATAAAAGCTTGATTCCTTTGTCTACTTTTGGAGAATTTGATTTATTTAACATGTTCCCGTGTGAAGCTGCTATCATCTACCAGTGTGTTTTACTTTCCTGTTCCTCATTGATAACGAAATCTTGACTTATAATAACTAATAACAATAAAATAAAATCGAGCAAACTGATAATCATGAGCATGTAGTTTTCATAACCGTACTAATATATTAAAATTAACGTTAATGTCCATCTCGTTCACCAAAACACCAAGATGGCGGAACAACTTCCTCCATTAAAACGTCACTTCCCAAACATCAAAACGAGGCTAGGCTTATATAGATTATGGGTTAGTCATGGCGTGCGCAGCGCAGCTTGTAATGCTGATATTTAGCACCGAAGCGCCTGGCATAGCCAAATACAGTCAAGACAGGGACGGCGAGGGAAGATCCCTTGCCTGTTAATAATATCCCCCTGCCCGCTCCGTGAAACGCTAAACTTTGCAGATGTGCGGAGCGCTGCTCTCTTCCATTCATCTAAGGCGATACTATGCACAGCTGTCTGAGATAAGGGGTTATATAATGATGTAGTTGAAACAACCACTGGATGGGGAAGAAAAGTTAAGTTACGAGTCGCCACATGTTTTGCTACGATCTAGTTCCACATTAGATAAAGTTGGAATTTGAAATGCTTTGGAAGTGTTTGTAAGTAGTGTGACGATAACAGGCTACCTGCAAGAGAAGCGCATTATATTCTAGCAGTTGTTGAAGAAGCTGTTTGTTACTGACAAGCATGCAATCTCATACACACACGATATCCCTTTGTCTACATGGCATACAATTTATACCAAGTATAGCATTACGACTTGACATATATCCACTGCGAGAATAAATAAATATGGCAGAGTTGAAGACCTTGTCTATTAGCTTCAACTGTCCAGCCATATAAGGCAGCATACCGTAAATCCTTGAAAAGACGCCCAGGGATAATGTATTTGAAGATGAAGATGGCATATGTACTGTGAATAGAACGTGTTAGGTTAGGTTTGCAGTTTGTCTGATAAAGGTTTACTTTCCAATGAAAGCGGTCATACTCTTTCCACATGAATAATCAGAGTCGAGTGTACAATTCCGACTATATTATAAGCATGTATTTGTCTGTATGTTAATACCTCAATCACCTTACTAAGTGATAAAAGGGTGACCGATGTCTATTTTTTGTAAGGACCAATGTGTATTCAGGGATGGCATACATTCAAGGATTAACAACATTTGGGAGAGATTGTAAAACTGTCGTTTAATTTTGCACTTTCAAAGATTTACATAGAAAATTAAAAAAATAAACACTTTATATATCTACTTCAAGTATATATATACCACAAAATACCTTCATTTCAATGAAGACCATTGGAAACGAAAGCCACCATCTGTTTATCATATATAAGTCATTTAAAATCTGCCAGGTTTATTGCCTCACCACTCAGTTCCTCGTTTCCCCGAACCACAGGTAGTAGGCAATCAGCACATCTTATATTAGGCTGGTCAGTTCAGCGGTCACTAGGGTTACCCTTCATCATCTGGAGGTCATTATCCACATCGTGTATGGACAGCATCAGCAGCAGCTGTCTGTAGCCCCGCACATATCGCCAGGAAATGGCTGTTCTTGTGACCAGGAACAACAAACAAAGAAAGTTTATTTTAACACACATATAAGGGTTTTACACAAGTTCCTATGCAATTGAAATTCTCTGTGCGTGTTCCATTTAGTGAAATGTGCACATAATCTACATCAGTTGCATTATGAAATATGTATGGATTAGTGGTCATTTAAGAAGGTCAATTCAATTACACCCAGTTTTGAGTGTTGAATGCTCTTTCATTAAACGTGTATTGTTAACACAAATAAATTTATATTCTTCTGAACTAAGTCTCAGAAATTGCCAGATTAAATTGAAATAGAGGTTAGTTTTGAACTATGCCAGTATATACCATTTTCAGCCCGAGAGGTGAGGTGAAATTGGGGTTAACGTCGTGCTTGAGAATATTTCGCTCATATGACGACGTGCATGCGTGTGTGTCTGTATGTGCGGCTGCTTGTACTAGCCCAGACTTAAGCTGGTTTTATAGTGCTAGCCCACTGAGATACCATGCTGCAGTGAAGCATGAATACCCCACTCAGACACATTATACTGACTCCGAGCCGACCAGTCCTTGTTGTACCCATTAATGCCGAGCGCCAGGCAGTGACCAACAAGTTCCATATTTTAACGTCTTTTGGTATGACGCGGTCGGGGATCGAACCCGCGACCTTCCGCTCTCCGGGCGGACGCCCTAACCACTACACCACGGAGGCGGTCTTCAGCCTGAGAGTGTAAACAAGGATATATTTCTTGACCAAAACAAATGTGTCATCAACGAACCCACATTCGCCATGATAACGACACTGATGTAGTTTAAACATCTGGCCAAACACTGGGGTATTATAAAAAACAGACAATGGACTGAAAATAACATTAAAGCATAATCGTCCATTCAGTGTTATCGGAAATAAACAAGCAGAAACTAAAGTGATAGGTCGAGGATCTTCACCCCTATAATCAAGGCGATTGTGGCAGTAACTGTGTTTTACAACTTGTGTTGAGATTAATGTCTGATGGAGGTTAGTCTCAATTAACTGACATCTTCCATCACGAGTGATCATACTGAAATCCGTGAACGCATCAGGGTTTTGTTGGATGGCTACAATGAGAAACAAACAAGCTTGTAGGCGCTGTGCCAACACGTCTCGCTCTTTCACGTGAAGGCACAGGCATGAGACGAATGTTTACAAGTTTGGACGAAAGAACGCGTGGTTGAAGAACCAATTATCTCTGCTCATTACCGGATACTTCTAACCAAAGTGCTGCTGTCGAGGGTTGTCTAACTCCCAAACCGTAAACATATTAGAACCCCGTGTAGATTTGCGCTATCGAAGTAGGGCCAAACTTCAACCGCCGCTCTCAGGAATATAATAATATGAAGTGTTTAGTAATCTTAAGTCTGTGTTAAGTGTTACTACTCCAGCCTGAAAGTTTTATACATGGTGATTTAATGTTTGTTTGTTTATGTGGATTAGATTAGAAGAACACACAAAGAGAAATGATGAATATGAACATTGGCGGGTGCAAAGAAGATGGAATCTGCACGGTATGACAAATTCGGCTGTGCTGTCTATAAGAACGGTCAGCCCTGTCGTGTAACTTGCCCAGCCAGACACGTACATCCATCTAAGTATAGACTAACGCTTAGTCTCTGAATATATATTCTGATAATAACAAACAAACCCATATAAAGACCAGAGTTTCAGAACCTGAGGAAATCTAGACTTGCTTCATTTAGGGCTTAACCATTGCAGAGAGGGCCAGGCAGTAGGGAAATAATATGGTTCAGGGACTGTGAGACAGACTAATCTAAGTACGACTTGGGCCTAATGCATTGCCTCAATATTAGTCTGTCTCACAATCCTTAACCCCACTATTTTGCCCTTCCATTAAGCCCTTTCCACAATGTAAAAGCGGTAAAGGAAGCACCTTAGGTTTTCATCAGGTTAAGGAATCTCCCCGCTGTACTCCTTTTCAATGTAAGTGGAACCATTTGACTTTATGACAGCTACATATATTATGAGATTGGATGTTAGTCAGCTCAGTATACATCTGCATGGTTTGTGTGGACATCCGACAAAATGAGTATTTAATTCACATCTTAAAAGAGAATGAGAAAAATTCCACCTGTCATTCGTTCGACCTAACCAGTAATACTTTAAACTCGCAATGTTAGTAGTGATTCATACGGTCGCAATCTATTCTGTTTCATTTATATTTAAAACACTAGCCTTACGCTTAGTCTCTGATTATACATAATGTTGACGGAAATAATTCCTTTAAATTGAAAAGGAGCCCGAGTGAGATGGGAGATTCAGAACCAGGGGCAATCTAGAAGGGAAGGGCATTTAGAAAGGAGGCTGGGATAGGGATAGCATTTCAGAAGGGGCTGGGATAGGGATAGGGAAGGAAGGGCTGGGATAGGATAGGGAAGGAAGGGCTGGGATAGGGAAAGGAAGGGCTGGGATAGGGATAGGGGAAGGGCTGGGATAGGGACAGGGAAGGAAGGGCTGGGATAGGGAATAGGGATAGGAAGGAACTGGGGGATAGGAAAGGATAGGGATAGGGAAGGAAAGGGCTGGGATAGGAAGGAAGGAAGGGCTGGGATAGGGACTAGAAGGAAGGGCTGGGACAGGAGGGAAGGAAGGGCTGGGATAGGGATAGGGAAGGGATAGGGAAGGAAGGAAGGCTGGGACAAGGAAGGGAAGGGA